AAAATTAACATTCATAAATCAAATGCGTTCCTATACATCAGTGATGAATACACTGAAAGAGAAATTATGAAATTCACAATAGCTTAAAAAAATACCTGGGATTCAATCTCACTAAAGAGCTGAAAGACATTTACAATGAAAATTATAGGACACTAAAGAAAGAAGTTGAAAAAGATTTTAGAAGATGGAAAGATCTCCCATGTTTTTGGATAGGCAGAATTAACATTGTTAAAATGGCCACACTACCAGAAGTGTTAAACAGATTTAATGCAATTCCTATTAAAAGTCCAATGCTATTATTCACAGAAACAGAAAAAGCAATCATGAAATTGATTTGGAAAAATAAGAGACCCAGAACAGTTAAAGCAATCCTTAGTGAGAAGAGTGAAGCAGAAGGCAGCACAATAACAGATCTTAAACTATATTACAGAGCAATTGTAACAAAAATGGCATGGCATTGGCACCAAAACAGATATATAGACCAATGGTAGAGAATAGAAGACACAGAGACAAACCCACATAAATACAGTTATCTCATACTAGACAAAGGCACCAAAAACATATTTTGGAGAAAAGATAGCCTCTTCAACAAATGGTGCTGGGAAATCTGGAGATCCATATGTAATAAAATGAAATTAAATGCCTATCTCTCATCCTGAACAAAACTTAAGTTGAACAAGGACTTAGGCACTAGAACAGAGACCATGGGCCTAATAGTAGAAAAAGTAGGCCAAAATCTCCACCATATTGTGTTAAGAACTGACTTCCTTAACAAGACTCGTAAAGTGCAAGAAGTAAAATCAAGAGTCAATAAATGAGATGTCATCAAACTTAAAAGTTTCTACATAGCAAATGAAACAATCAGTAATATGAAAAGAGAGCCTGCAGAATGTGAGAACATCTTTACCCTATGCACCTCAGACAGAATATCAATTTCCAGGATATATAAAGAACTCAAAACTTAACAACAAAACAAAACACACATCAAATAATCCAATCAACAAGTACTGATCTAAGGAACAGAACAGACACTTCACAGAAGAACAAATACAGCTGATCAACAAATATATGAAAAAATGTTCAACATCTCTAGCAATCAGAGAAATGCAAATCAAAACTACACTGATATTCCATCTAACTCTGTTCATAGTGGCAACTATCAAGAATATAAGCAACAGTAAATATTGGCAAGAATGTGAGGGAAAAGGAGCACTCTTACTTTACTGATGGGACTGCAAATTGGTGCAACCAATATGGAAAGCAGTATGGAGATACCTCAGAAAACTCAGAATGGAACCACCATTTCACCCAGGTATCTCACTCCTTGATCTATATACCCAAAGGATTTAAAATCTGCATACTACAGTAATGCAGCCACCTCAATATTTATAGCAGCTCAATTCACAATAGCTAAACTGTGGAACCAACCTAGATGCCCTTCAACAAATGAATGGATAAAGAAACTGTGGTGTGTGTGTGTGTGTGTGTATATATATGTATATACACACATATGTATATGTTGGACTATTACACAGCCTTCTAGAAGAATGAAATTATGGCATTTGCAGGTAAATGGATAGAGCTTGAGAACATCATGCTAAGTGAAATAGGCCAATCCCAAAGAACCAAAGGCTGAATGTTTTCTCTTATATGTGGATGCTAATTCACAATAAGGAGGTGGGGTAATTGGAGAAGAGCAGAGATAGTTTGGATTAGATATAGGGAAATGAAGGGAGGGGCGAGAGTATAGGGGTAGAAAGGATAGTAGGATGAATTGGACATTATTATCCTATGTGCATACATGATTACATGACCAGTATAACTCTACAACCAGAAGAATGAGAAGTTATACTCCATTTATGTATGATGTATCAAAATGTATTCTAGCCATGTATAGCTAATTTGAACAAATAAAAAGTTTGAATTTAAAACAAAATTTAAAAATTCATTAAAAAGAAAAAAAGACTCATATTTCTGGGGAAGAATAATTATTATGAATGACCTTATCTTTAGTATTTGCTTTTCCAAATCATCTACAATGAAGTGTATGACTCTTATGATTAAGGAGGAAAATATTCTCTGAGATGTTACTTAGACGTATTAAAAATATTTAAGAAATATAAGTATCAACCAAAGAAACTATACATAAAAATATCTTACAGAGCTTAAAAGTACCTAAGTGAATTCTATCTGATGGTAAATTTAGAAAGATTCCTTTAGAGTGTGCTTTATTAGATAGACTTTGAATTACTATTGTCTGATGAAAGAAATTATCAATTGATTATGCATCATAACTTTTGCATGTAAAATACATAACAGATTATAATACAAAACCAATATTTCTGTGAGTATGCAATTTACTTCCTCTTACACCTTTTCCCCAAGCATTTCTGACCCCAGAGTTCATTAACAAGTCAATGTTTGTATATTATGGGGAGTTATAAGAAATACAAATGAGCACCCAGCACCATAGCTAAAACTTAGGAACTTTAACCTTTGCTTGTAAAATGTGACTAATAAGGAATGGTAAATCATCTTCCGAGAGAAATAAATCATGTGTGAGTTATAAAAGTGTGTCAAAAGGTTTGTGTTACAGCCTTACTTCCCTTCTAATTTCTGATGCCTTGTGTTTACTGTTCTATATTTATTTTCCAATTTTTAAAAATGAAATTGTTATTTTTAAGTAGCAGAATTGTTAGAGGCTCAATATAAAGCTTCAAATATTTGAGAAAAACATAAAGATTAAAAAGCACTCCAAATCCCACAACCCAGAGATGGCTATTAATCTTTTGGTGGAACCCTTCTGGATCTTCTCTCAGGTATATCTTTACTTACGTATAGAGGCATTCAATATAGATGTAGAATTTATAAAAGGAATTGTAACATTTTGTAGTGTTCTATAACCTGAAAGACACTTATGTTATTTCTAAGCTTTAAATTTTGCAAATGGTGCCATAATGTACATACTTGCACACATATCTTCACAGATAGACTTACTGTACTTTTAAAAATACCTGAAGGCTTTTGGAAAATCTAAAAATTATTTATTCCAGAAATGTTCAAAAAAGTATAATGTATAAAAACAAAATCTTCATAATATGAATCCTATCAGTGTGCTTCCTTCACTTAACCTATATCTCCCACAATCATCATCTATTATACAGCAGCTTCTTCCTTCTAGCTCTTCTGGAGAAAAGCCCTGGAATCATATTTGGTTTCTCACTTCTTTTAAAAACCTTTGTCCTATTGATTAGCAGAGTCTATTAGTCCTCCTTAAAAGGATACAACCAATTCTCATCAGCTTCACCCATATTAATCTGGATCAAACACTATAATTTCTTGCCTAGTCTAAGAGCATTGAAGGTATAAAATTTCATTGATATGGCTTCAGATTCCACATTGCAGGTAAACTTCAAGAAATAAAACTCATCAAGTTTTTGGGTAGTATCAAAGAAGAATATTCACAATTTTCTGAAAAGGCTATGAAAATATTCTTTGCTTTTACAACTATGTATTGCTGTGAGGCCAAGTTTTCTTCATATACTTCAAGCAAAATAACATCTTGTAATAGAACTTTGTGTTGACAAGAGGAGGTAAATCAATCAGTTGACTTTTATTAAAGTTATCTGCAAAGAATAAAACAATTCCATAATTCTCACTAATTTTTTTGTTGCCTACAAACACAGTTATTTTTAATGAAAAATCACATTTATGTTAACATATGATGAACCTAATTGTTATCTTCAAGTGAAGGAATAAATAATTGAGAATTTCTCAGTCTCAACTACTATGGGAAATACTGATAGGTATAATTAACAACCCAAGTGAGCCAATGCTCTAATGGATTCCTTTTCATTCAAAGTAAACTCTAAAATCCCTATCGTGGTTCATAAACTCCCGATATGATCTGCATTTCTGACCCCTGAGTTCATTAACAAGTCAATGGTTGCATACGTATGGGGAGTTACAAGAAATACAAATGAGCACCCAGCACCATAGCTAAAACTTAGGAACTTTAACCTTTGCTTGTAAAGTGGAGAAAAGCCCTGGAATCATCTTTGATTCCATTTCCTCTACAATCTGTACTCCTAATACTCTCAGACCTCATTTTTAACCATCTTTCTCTCACTTTTTTACAGTGGTCTCTCTGATGTTCCTTGAATATACCAAGTAACTTCTACACAAGAGACTTGGCACTTGCTTCTCCCAGTGTTTGTAATACAGCTTTCCAGAAGCCCCAGGGCTCTCTCTCTTCCTTTAATTCTTATCTTAAATGTCATCTTACTAGTGAGCCAGTCCTTACATATCATATGAAGAAACAGTACAAAATGGAACTCTCCATCTTCCTCTATATTCTCTTCACTGTGAGATAGAGATACACACATATATATATCACCTATCTATCTAAAACTCTTTCTCCATATACATATATAAAATTTTTTTTCCTTGTGCTACTGGGCATTGAACCCAAGGCCCCAAGCATGTTAGATAAGTTCTTTATCACTGAGCTATATCCCCTAAGTTTCTTGGGCCGGCCTTCAACTTGTAATCTTCCTGCCTCAACCTCCTGAGTTGTTAGGATTGTAGGCATATACCACTGTACCCATCTTGACTTATATTTTTAATGGCCAGTCTTCTCCATCTTGAGTGAAAATCTATAGGAGCAGAGACTCTTCTGTTTTGTAAATTATGATATGCTCAATGCATAGAAAAGTTCTTGCCTTTAACAGATTACAGCTGAATGGATGTTGGAAACTGTTATCTGAATGTACTTCTATCTGCTTTACCTTTGAAAATTCTTGATTTGATTCACCATGTGTTTTTCAACAATGTTAATGTATTTTTATGTTTTACCTTTGAAAATTCTTGATTTGATTCACCACCATGTGTTTTTCAACAATGTTAAGTAAACATTTTTAAACAAGCACATTTTATCATAAAACAAGCAAAAAAGGGCAAAAATGATAGAAGAAAATGTAGATATTAAATGACATTCATACCTGACATACTCTGAGAGCTTGGTCCAAGACTGTTTTGGTGTCAGTGTCATAATCTGGGCAGGGCAGCATGGCTCGACTGAGGTGTGCCTGAAGCAGGAGATGGGCTTTGGTGTGAGGGCTGTCAAATGAATGGGGATTTAATTCAACAGGAAGACATTTTGCCAATTCACTGTTCATATGATCTTCATTGTGTCTTACTGGCAAATCTGTGTATTCTTCTGCATCCTGTAAAGCAAAACAAACAAATCCATATATATATACACACATACATATATATATGTCTCTTGTATCAACATCATAATAATTAATGCACTCTTCAGCTTTACCTACTTTTAAACATGGTTTAAAGAAACCATAAATAACCATGTCCTTTAGAATTATGCTTTGTTCATTACTATAATAAATATAAAGCAAAAGATAGTAATGTACAATTATTTCTGAACTTCAGGAGTGCTCTTTTGTATTTAACAGTTAACAAAAATAATAGAGGACTTACTAGGCATTACACTTTATAATTATGGTGAGGTCACAGCCATGAACAAGAAACTGTGAACCCATCAGGGAAAATAGGCAAACAACTTCTAAAAAGTATAATGAATATTATAATATGCTACATTTAGAGTGCTGAAAGAACATTCAGTTTGGGGAATCTACTTATTTTAGAGGGTTAGGAAAAGGTTTTTTTTTTTTTGTTTTTTTAAGTGATGTGTAAGTTAAGATCTGGAGAATAAGTAGAAGAAATAAGGTAAGGCACGGCTGGAGAAAAAGACAAAATTAAAAGTGGTAAGTTGAGGAAAGGGTGGAAAGTATGTTCATTAACTTAAAATTTATTGTATCTATTGGATTACAATCCAGTTTTTCTTGAAAAAATATTATGCTTACACTGCTCTACTTTATTAGTGTGTGAAAGAAAAGTCTTATTCTTCCAAATATGTAGTTGAGATTCAGCCTGCTGCTGTTGATATGAAAGTCCTACATCTACAATAACATTAATTGGATGTGTTAACATATGTAATTCTTTGGTATAATTACAATTATAATGTATACAATTCTTTGAATGATTAATATGGACAGGATTTACTCTTCCCTAGCAACTGCATCCCCCTATACACAAACAAAAGAAAACATAAAATATATGAAATAGTGACCTTCAAGGCATTGAAGATAGGGGTAGCTATGCAAAACAGTGGCCCTTGAGATACAGAAAACAAACTAGGTAAGCTCTAATATTGCCCCAGAATACTACATGGAGATTTTTCAGGAAATGGTGCACAGAAGAGGAATCCAAAAGAATTTGGAGGACTCCCCAAATTAAAGAGATGCAGCTGAATGTCCACGTGGATAAAATATGCATTACAGTGTACTAAAGGAGAGGGAGAGGGAGTGGCCTTAGCTGGCAAGGGAGAAAAGAGGAAATGAATGTGCACATAAATGCCAAAGATCTGCAGGGGGTCAACCATACATTTTTATTCAGAGGTGTACTAAACAGTAAAAAAACCACACAAAGCTAGAAAAAAGAATCATGCAAACCAATTACAGGGAACAGTGTCCAGCACTCAGTGTCATGAATAATGCCCGTTCCCACCACACTGACCAAAGACACTCATAATTCACAAGGTATAAGGTGGAGACGATCTTGCCTAAGGACTGGGGAACAATTAGCTCTACAATGATTACTACTTGGGACTTGCCTAACAAATTATAAGAGCAAGAGCTAAAGGATCAAATGCTTCCAAGAAATTTAACTACATTCCAGAATAAAGCTCAGGACAATTTATAGGAATACAGACACACACACTTCACTCAAGAAGGTGAAATTTACAATGTATGGCATCCAATTAATGGTTACCAGCGATGCAAAAAAGCAGGAAAACAGGATCAGTAGTGAGGAGAATAATCAATCAATGGAAACTAACCTAGAACTGGCACAGATCGTAGAATTAGCAGTCAAGGACACTGAACTGTTATGCCAACTGTATTCTATATATTCAAGAGACAACTACTCAAACTTCAATATCTTGAAATAAAAATTATAATATTTGAAATGAAAAAATGCACTGTACTTTATTAATGGATGAATACACATTAAAGAAAACAGTGAACTTAAAGACATCAAAAGAAACTATTAAAAGTGAAACAGAGAGAAAAAAGAATTAAAAAAATAAACAGCATTATGAGGAATGAGACAACTTGAAGTGTCCTAATGCATATAATGAGAAGAAATGCACACACAAAAAAGAAGTAATGGCTGGATAGTTTCCAGTTCAATGTAAACTTTGAGATAACAGACTCAATAAGTTCAATGAACCCCAATCAACAACAAATGAAGAAAACTATAGTAATTAAAATTCATCACAATTGAATTATTGAAAACAATAAAGAGAAAACATATAAAGAAGTCAAAGGAAAAGCTACATTATATACAGATAACAGCAGATTTATACAGATAACTTATACATTATATACAGAAAACACAAATAACAGCAGATTTCTCATTGGAACAATACAATAAGGCAACAGTAGAGAAAGACTAAAAGGAGAAGGAAAAAAAAAAACACCCTGTCAGTCTAGAATGCTATATCAAGAGAAGTAAATCCTTCAAAAATGAAGCTGGGCATGGAAGCTGATGTCTGTAGTCCCAGCCACTTGGGTGGCCAAGGCAGGAGGGATGCTTGAGCTCAAGAATTCTGGGCTAGACTGGAAAACAAAGCAAAACCCTGTTTGTTAAAAAAAGGAGTATTTTTAAACATACAAAAGCCGAAATAATTTAAACAGATACTGTTCAGGCAGAAAATAAATTATACCAAATGAAAATATGGAGCTTCATAAACAAATGAAGAACATTAAAAACAGTAATTGTATAGATAAATATATAAAAATTGTTCTTATTATTTTAATGTCATTGACTGTTGAAACAAAAATAATAATAAGTGTATTGTGGAGTATGTCATTTGGACATAGACTGTAATCAGTTGCTATTTTACTGTAATGGTTGCTATTTAATGCAACCATTAAAGCAGCAAAACAAAGTAGCTATAGCCAATAAGAAATAACCCCAAAGGCCCAAAAGACAAAAACCTAAAAAACCAAAACAACAACAACAAAAAGCAACCAGAACAAAATAAAAAAAGCTCAAAACAAAAAAGAACAAAGAACAAATGAGGTATGTAAAAAATGTTTTTGTACCACAATAAAATTAAAAACCAACAACAAGTCTTTGGAAAACAAATGGCAAGATTATATACTTTGACAGAGGTGATCAACAACCACATTTAAGGCAAATGTTCTGAACAATCCTGTCTGAAGTCAGAAATGTTTGCATAATAAAGCATGGCTCAATTATATGCTGCTTATATTACACACACTATACATACACTTGCACATACACATAAATATCATATACATATGTGGACAAGTATGTTAAAGTAAAAGGACGAATAAGATACACTATGCTAATACATGTCAAATGAAAGGAGAAGTAGCTATATTTATTTCAGACACAGTAAGTTTCAGAGCAAAGAATATTATCTAGGATGAAGATGGTCATTTTATAAAGAAAGAAATCAGTTAGCATGACGTAGCAATTGAAAACATTTAGGCTTCAAATAACATGAGGAAACATTGGTACAGACACAAGAAGAAATCTAAAAAACACACTTCCAAATAATCCAGGAATCAAGGAAGAAATAAGAAAGGAAATTAGAAAATATTTTGAAATGAATACAAATAAATGCACAATTAGATTTTTTGGACTATCACTTGGAATTTACAAAACTAAATGTCTATGTTTAAGTGAAGAAATGTCTTAAGATAATGACCTTAATTCCTATTTTAAGAAACTAGAGAAAGAAGAACAAATTAAACCCAAATAAGCAGAAGAAAGAAAATTAAAAAAAAGTTAAAGCAAAAATAATTGAAATAGGAAAGGAAAACTAGAGAGAAAAATCAGTGAAACCAAAATCTGGTTCTTTGAGAAGATCAATACAGTTGATAATCCTCTAGTAGACAGATCATAATAAAGAGAGAGAAGATATATACCAATATTAGGCTTAAGTTGTGGGGACACATAACTACACATTTCATAGATTCTAAAAGGATAATAAGAAAATAATATGAATAGCTTTATGCCTATAAATGTAAAAATAGATACTTGTACAAATTCTTTGAAAGACATGAACTACCAAAATTCAGCCAATAAGAAACAGATTATGTATTAAATAAATTGAATTTGTCATTAAAAATCTTCTCACAAGGAAAGTTTCATGCCCTGATGGATTCCCTAGTAAATTCTATCAAACAGTTAAGGTAGTTTTAAAACCAACTCTACATAAATCTTCCTTGATAATTAAAGAGGAAGGAATCATACATATAAATGTAAATTTGACATTGTGACAAGTGCTATGAAGATGAGATATAGAAATAAAAAAGAGGTCAGCAAAGGAATTTGACCAATTTAGTAGGAAGGTTGAGAGGTTCCTGAAGAAAAAGACAGTTAAGCTAAGAAACACAGGATGAGCAGATAGAAACTTGATGGGGAAAGTGAAGAGTGTTCTACGATAACTTCCTCACAGCAGAAAGGAAAACATTAAATTCAAGATGCTGAAAAATGACTACAAAAAGTTTCTATTCATTAAATATAGTATGCTAAAAACGTATCTTGAGTATTATTTGAAACATTCTATTGAACTCCACTAGATATGTATTTGTTAATTAAGTCTCTTTTAAAATTTAAATAAAATAGTCAAAAATATCATGGCTATTCTATAGTATTACTTTTGACTTTTAATGTAAGAAGTGTACACTGATACCTTAGCATTTATATTTTCCCCTGTACGTCATCTTGGTTTTCTTTTTTGTATGTCATTTCACCTCTTTTTTATTTTTTTGAAGACATCTGCCAAAAAGAGGTACTAACTATATAATAGTGCTCTTATTTTTGGATTTTTTGGTGAATTCAGGACTGAAGAATTTTTACCTAGTGACTGACCCATTTCAATCTCATGTCTAGCTTCTGTCCAAATGCCTATCAGCAAGTCCACTTATCATCCCAGCCTTGCCAATTGGTTTAAGAAAATCTGAAGAACAGAAAGGGAAGAAAATGGCTCAGAAATCTAAAACATGATCTATTCCTTCAAGGAAATTAAAACCATATTGTGAAAAACAATTTATATAGATGAATAAGCATTTTAAGTGTAGAATAAAATATCATTAGTCAAAAAAGAACA